GTGAGGAATAATATCCTACAGAATAAATAAATAATTTATTTGTGCTTTTACTTTGATTCAAATCAGCTGCAATCTTACAGCTGTTTTGTTGATATCTTTACACACATTTAAAGATTTTTTTTGGCTCAGGTCTTGTTTAAATAAAAAAAACTTGAAAATCTCATTAAAGGAAACTTTTAAGTTTGTTAATTCTCTATGTTTCTTTCTTTGCTTGATTTATTTCAGTAATCTGCTTGAATCACTTTTTAACTTCACAGAAACTCACGAGAAAATTACGCTCTTATGTCTCCTTTGATATGAAATCCATTATCATCATTAGTAAATATTAGTTTAATTCTGTGTAGATTCAACTATTTATGCATCAGCTTGATTTGTTTTTGTGTCATAACCTCTCCAGAGCTCGGTCTCTCATGAATGTCACAATTTGACCTTCAGCCGTATCTAATTTCACAAATACTGCACGTCAGGTTTTTGTACTTTGGCTCAGGCAGAATTCATCTCATCAGTGGGAAAGATCGTCGCCTCCTTGTGTAAAAATGTTTCGTGGGCATCAAAGCGAAGCTGTTCTCTTGTGGTTTGAGTTGCTCTGCTTTAAGTGTGTTTGTTGAAGTGACTCGTCTCTTCTCGCTGCACATTATTGTTTTTACTGAGACTCAGTCAGACTGTCATCATCAAATCAGGAATTTTTTTCAGATTTTTAACTCTTTCTTATTAATTATTTCAGCGTCACTCTGAAGCTTAAAAATCTGTCAGAGTTTTGTACTTCTCAGATTTTTCAAAATAACTTAAATTGTCAATTTTCTTCAAAGTGAGTTGAATTTTATATCATTTGCTTGTGTAACCCTGTTTCCTGTTAAATGTGCAAATGTTTTCAACTATTCCTTAAGAAACAGCTCTTTTTACTTTTTTAGAAAGTCTAATTTCTTTACTTTTATGACTGAAACGCTTCTAAAACCTGTGTACAGTAAAATGTTAGTACAATTGTTCCAATTTAGAAAAAAAGAGGCCCTCCGTAATCAGATTTAAAAAAAAAACACTTTTTTCTTGCTTCTTCTAAAGTTTTGTTGTTTTCTTTTATTCCATGGTGCACAATTTAAAATAAATCAACAAATTTTAAATCTCACGTGTATTTTTGACCAGGCTATTTATTAAATTTTAATTACTGAAGCGAAACAGTTTTGCTTCTTGTTCACGGGGTCACGTTAGAAAATGAATGAAAACCTATGTTTCAAAATTTCTCTTAAGGTAAACAGGTTTTGTAGAAAAAAAACAGTACCTCTGATCCGATTGATTTTTAATGTTTATTTTTATTAGAATCATTTCATGCTCACCTTTCGGTTGCCGCACTTTAAGTTGTGTTTAATATGTGACCGGTGTTGTGCTCACTGTGTTTGGCTGACGTAATGAAATAACAGACGTTACGTAAAGCCTCTATGTGAGATGATGTTGAATCAATATGAGCATTAAACACACACACGCACACACACACACACACACACACACACACACACACACACACACACACACACACACAC